TGTTGTATCATTTTAAACTCCTCACAGTGTATGTGAATTCTGGTTGCTCTGCTTCCTTGCCAACACTTTGTAAAGTCAGTCTTTTTAATTTTATCATTTCTAAAATGAGTATGTAGTAGTATTTCATTGTGGTTTTCAGTTGCATTTCATTAATGACTGTCGGTATTCAGCACCTTCTCATATCCTTCCTTTTCATCTGGATATCTCTGGTGAAGTGTCTTTTCAAGTATCTGGCTCATTGTTTTATTGAGGGTGTTTGTATTATCATTGAATTTTGAGAGCTCTTTAGTCTGGATATAAACACATCAGATATGATCTGCAAATAGTGTTTTTCAATCCATGGCTTGTCTTTTCATTTGCTTAACAGTGTCTCTGAAGAGTGGAAGTTCTTCATTATAATAAAGACCAATTTACCAATTTAAAAAGAAATAGATTATACTTTTGGTGTTAAAGAAATCTTTACCAAACTCAAGATCAAAATGGTTTACTCTTACATTTTTTTTCTAGAATTTTTATCGTTTAGATTTCCTATGAAGTTCTATGATCCAGTTTGAGTTAATTTTTGTGTATGTTGTGAGATGTGGATCAAAATTCATTTCTTTGCTTATGGATATCTAATTGGTCTAGCACTATCTGTTGACAAGATCCTTTCTCCACTGAATTTCCTTTGTGCCCGTATTGAAAATCAGTTGTCTATATATGTGTTGGTTTATTTCTGGATATTCTATTCTGTTCCAATGTTGTATTTGTCTATTTTATACCAATATCATACTTCTTGATTACTGTAGCTTTATAGTAAGTCTTGAAATCAGATAGTATAAGTCTTCCAATTTTGTTCTTCTTGCTTGAAGTTGTTTTGGCTATTTGTTTTTTTGTTNATTTTTAACAGTCTGTCTTAAGTTGATAACAACTTAAGTTTGAACACATTCTAAAGCTCTGTTTTTGTTTCTCTCCTCCTGTTTTATGTTTCTGATGTCACAATTTGTTTTCATCTTGTGTATCCTTTAAGGAAGTATTGTAGTTATACTTTGACTTTTAACCTTCATACTAGATTTTTAAGCGATTAACCCACCACCTTTACACCATGAGATTATTCTGAATATTAGTATATATTTACCTTTAACACTGAGATTTATTCTTTCATATGTTGTCCTGTTACAACTGGGCACACATTTGTTTCACCTGAAAGACATCCTTTTAACCTTTCTTGTAAGGCCAGTTGAGTACTGATTAACTCCTTTAGCTTTTGTTTGTCTGGAAAACTCTCTCTCCTTCAGTTGTGAATGACAACTTTGTTGGGTACACTATTCTGGTTGGAAGTTTTCTTTCAGCACTTCAAATATAGTGTCACTGTCTTCTGGACTGCAAAGTTTCTGATGACAAATTTTGTGATGGTCTTATCAGGATTCCTTGTATGTAACAAGCTGTTTTTCTCTTACTGCTTCTAAGATTCTCTCATTGTCTTTAGATTTTGATAATTTAATTAAAATGTGTTTTGTTGTGGGTCTCTGGATGTTTACTGGGCACTCTGGGCATCCTGGATCTGGATACTGTTTCCTTCCCCAGGTTATAAGTTTTCAGCCATTGCTCTTCAAATAAGTCTGCTGCCTCTTTCTAGGACCCCTATAATGCAAATGTTGGTCTCTTTGATGGTGTTCCACAAGTCCCTTAAGCTATCTTCACTTTCTTTTTCTTTTTTTTTTTCTGCTATGATTGGATGAGTTTCACTGCCCTTTGAGTTCACTGACTCTCTTCTGCTTCATGCAGTCTGCTGTTGAACACCTATATTGTATTTTTCAGTGTAGTGATTGTAGTCTTTAGTTCTGTGACTTCTACTTGTTACTTTCTTATAATTGATACCTCTTTGTT